TCCCGGAATGGAAAAACAATCCTGGCCTTAAATTAATTTACAGAGCATCCTGTAACAACTATTCTGGCAAGTTAATTTGGAAAAAAACTGGGTCAGGGTATTCTTAATGTAGGAGCCAATAATTGCATTTCTATGTTATGAAATCTTTACCGTAAAAATTTTGGCCTTACAGAGAAAACAGCACCACCTCATAGAATTATGTGAAGCCCATGACACTTAGAAAAGAAAAATTAAAGGATATTTAACACAATATTGCAGAAATGTAGTCGGGACTTTGCTATTTTGCTTTGCTTTTCTGTTTTTCATTCTACATGAGAAAAAGAGAAGTCCTCATCATCAAGAACTATCTAGATTTTTCCAGTTAAATCTAATATTAAATTTGGCTTATACAAGAATCACATCCATGAGCGCTTTTTGTCTAAATTCTCTCCCACTTTTATTGTCTTTTTAGATTACGTGGTGTTATCACCATAGTCTTATAACTCTTGTCTTCTGCGGACACATTTGCCAAAAACAAGAGAGGATTTTAAAATATTCAGTTAAAAATAAAAATGGTCAACATTTGTCTTTAATTTAACTAGACATTTTGTTGCCAAAAAGTGTCTCAACAAAAAAGAGAAAAGAAAAAAAAAAAGACAGACAGACACAAGCAGACACATCCTGGCTATACTTAAAACTGGATTAAAGACTTGCATGCATAACACTGTCCACAACTCTGTGAAGTTTACATTTACAGGATATTAATAATGCAAATCACTGTGCAAATATAGTACTACCATCTGAATAAGAGCAGCATCTGAAGAGCAACACCCACTAGAGCAAAAAAAATAATTACTAGAAGAGATGAAGTATTTTCTTCTTGAAAGTCCTGCAGACACTTGTGCACAGTGGTGCTTTTGCCTCCCCATATTATTAGACATTTCCTATAAATACCCTCTCACATAGACTCCCCATAAATACCCTCTTTGCTTTCAAAGTATAGCTGAGGACAATGGGATTCAGAGGGAGGGAATGATTTATTGATGGTCAAGCAGTGACGCTGAAGCAGTGCAAAGAACATCCCTCCTTCCATGTCCCATGGTTTAAATCAATATGCTGTGTGCTTTGTTTTTTCTTAAAAGCACTTTAATTCAAGGCATAAGATGATCACAATAACTAAGAAGCCTGCTTCCATAACGTAACATTTCTCCAAAGATATGTATGGCAAATGTTTTACCCATCTGGAGTATTCTGTGTTTATGAATTAGACAGTCTATTTGTTCTTGCACATTCTCTGAAAACATCCTTCTTACCTCATCATATCCAAACAGAGCTGCATAGAAATTTTCTACCATACTTCTCAAATCTTCCTTTAGAACAACAGAGTTAATCTGAAAAATAAACCAGAAAACCATCTGTATAGGCTCTAAAGAGGAGGTGATGAGAAAATATTATCAGTTTCACTCTGAGCAGGCAAAGAAGAAACACTCTCTTGGCCCATAGGTTAGGATTTGGCTCTAAGTAATGGTGTTAGTGCAGTCAAACATTTTAGAACAACAGGCAATACAGCTCCGTTAATTCTGTACACAAATGAAAGTCAGTGTTACTCAGAATATATGAATGGCAGAAAAATCCTCAGCCAACAGCGCTGACATATAGCTACATGAGTGAAGAAAAAAAAAGCAGCTGGGGAAAGCGTGAAGGCAGGACTGTCCTTTCAGTGGCAGCATAGGCTAAGATAATGAAGACTCCTCTGCATTTTAACTATTAAGCAGGTTTTCCAGACTTCATTCACACAGCTCTTTTAGAAACTCCGGGGTTTTTCAACTTTTTTTCTAAAGCATGAACTCCAGATCTGGATGTGGTATTACAGTGAAAGTACTGTAATGCTAAAGATAGAGGCACCGTCCCCACCACTACTCCTAACTTACTTGTCAATATTGACTTTCTCATTCAGGAATCACATGAATTGTTTCTACAGCATCTCACTAGAAGCTCAGATTTACTAGTTTTTGACTATGACTAAATTTCTTTCAGCGTTTGTGATGATCCAGCTACTTCCCCCTATACTGTAAGTGTGACTCAGTCCAAGTTCCACACTAACTTTTAACTAAATTTAACAGTTGCTTAAATATTTGCTGGTTTGGTATAAGCCACTCATTGGCTTGCAGAGCTGACCCCATGTGAGCTTAAGATGGAACCAAAAGAGACCAACTGCTAGGTCCAGAGTGATGGCTGAAATACCTCATGTGCATCTCCCTCATACAAACTGTCTATTCCTTTTGCCTGTACTTTTTACTTCTATCAACAAAATGATTTAATAAACAGTTCCTCTCCTGAGGGCTAAGCTAAACTTCAATTGGTAAAGCTTCTTCTTTATTGACTCTCATGAGAAACCTAAGAGATACTAAGCATTTCTTTTCTACAGATCTCACATACAACGTAAGTATAAATGACAAGAATAATTATCTTCATACTTGCATACCAGCAGAACACTTATGTATGAGACTGCACCTTGAAGACAGGTTTTACAAAAAAGAAACTGCAAACAGGAATACAGGGTAGGACATCAGTTCTACTACGGAGTAAGTATGGCTGTCTTTGAGGTACAGCTTATCACAAGGCTAAAGAAGAGCTGTGAAAACTCATATATCTAAAATCTTAATACTTATGACAGCGTGAACCACATGCCCTAAATACTTTCTTAGTATCCTTAAGAGTACTCACCTTGGTAATTATGCAACAGCTTTTCTATCAAAATATGAATTAGTTTTTGCCGCACTAGCAAATCTCCAGTTCAAATATTCTTCCATTAAACCACTATCTTTTTTCATCTGTTGATTTTTATAGAAATGCATATAGTGCAAACACAAGGAAAATTCCTTTTATGTCAGTTACTCGTAATTTTCCATGAATATAAACTATTAAAATTCATGCAGATATTTTATAGGCTATCAAGATTTGGAGACTGGTTATTACTGAATGTTTAAAAAAAGAACTAAACATAAGAAATCAGAGGGTTAAATGATGACTGCAACTTCTGTAATGACTTAATTAAATTTTTATTGAGTACATAAACTATGATGTCATTTCTACCCAACCATGCTCAAACCTTCTATGCATGTCAGAGATCGTGGTTTTTCTCAATAGAACATACTTCTAAATAAGCTGCACTTCTACAGCTCTAATAAGGGGGAGCAGGTCTCATGTAACACACTCAATAAATTATCCTTCCATTTTAAACAAACAAATTCCATGAGTTATTATATATTTGCCACGCACTTTTTATGACATAATAAAAATGTTACCTCAAGGATTACTTAACACATACTACAAATGTTACAGCAGGCAACTGCAAGGGGCAAAGAAAACAAATAGTCCCATTACAGAGACAAGTCCTGGACTATACGTCCCTAGGGAAGCAGCCTTCTATACTAAAAACAAAGAGCAGCAGCTTTAAGTTAGCAAGAAATAGATTGATGAAGGAGATAACCAAGTTAAACAAACATGGCAATAAATACATCTTAAAAGACAAACAGTTTAAAATACAAAATATGACTTTGGGGATGGAGCAGTATCTTGGGCAATAAAATTACATTTAAAGGAATACTGCAGTTTCTGAAGAATACAACCAGCATTGGTTAAGTACAAACATTGTAGGAAAAAATCCTTCTTTATAAAACAAGAAAAATGAGTAAATCCAAATCAGTGTTTGTTGGAAACGCTTCCTCTTTTTAAGCGTGTACATGTTCTTACCACTGGCAAGTTTCATGATCTGGTTGGTCATGATTCTGCTGACTCTTCCACAGTTTGCTATTAAGAAGAAAAACTGCTAGGCAATTCCAAGTGAGTAATTGCTAATAAAAAGAAAAAAAAAAACAGTAATATCTGGAGCTCTTCTAGGGACTTAGCCCCTTTGCCTTCTCTGGAACAACCCATTGCAGAGCTATCACCAGAATAAATTTATATAGCATCACCTAAATTGACACACAGAACTATCTTAGTTCAAAACAAAGAATACATTTTTGGTACTTCTCTCACATTCACAAGACCCGTAAAGAAAGAAAACGTACAGCTAACGTATCTTCCTACTACGTGTCACAACTTTTCATTGAAAGACTCCATGATCCCACATTCTGCCTGCAAGACAACTACAGTATACGACTATTGCATTTTCATTATTATATTACAGTAAGAAACCTCATCTGCAGCCTCAACGAATTCAATATGCATCATTCAACAGCCAACTGGTGAGGCTTACTGCTATATAAGACAATATCAAGTCTCAGTTAAGGTTTCATATTCTAACAAGATTTCTAAGAAAATAAGAGCACACTGCTTTATTGTATATGCTGAACATGTATGAAAATATCTTATGTATGGGCACAGTTTTTAAAGTGAAAGCTGCTATAGGATTAGTCCATATTAATGTCTTGTTGGATCAAGAACATTCTTTCGTAATGAAGCTTCTCTTCATCCCCACTTACCATACTTTGGTTTACACTGCAGAGAAGTCTCAGCATGCACAGACTGGAAAATGTGCTCTAATGTGCTCTACCTGCAAAGAGGCATTCAGCCCACGGGATCAGCCTAGAACCAGAGCAAGGTAAAGATCATCCCCGTGGAGCAGGGATGCTGGATCATCAACTGTTTCACTCAACAAATGTGTTCCTGTCAGATCACATTAAACGCTAGTGTAGACATCACGGTGATGTCCACAGGCTACACTATTTGAAAGCACTTTAACAGGAGTTTCTTTCTGTTATGGCTTTTGCCAGCATGTGTTGCACCCGTAAGCTACTTTAACACATTAATCCATCCATAGACTGTAAAGCCAGAAGGGACACTTCTAACTGCACCTTGTACAAGCACTAGTCATTGAATTTCATGCAGCAATTCCTCTCTTTAGGCCATAAATTATGGTTGAACTAGATTTTTTTATGAAGAGATTTCAGCCAGAAGAAATGATTAGATCATAGAACCTGACCCTCTGCATATCACAGACCATTACATTTCACTGAGTTCCCTCTGTACTAAGCTCAGTAAAGTTGTGTTTGGCTAAAGCATATCACCCTCACAGTTCAACATGTGTATCTCATTTCATATTTGAATTTTCTGGCTTAAGTTTCCACCCCCTCATTCTCATTATACCATTCCCGCTAGAATAAAAAGCCTCTTCTGTACAATGTATTTGCTCCTGTACCTGTACACAGTAGATGTGTTAGCACAGTCATCTTTACAAACCAAGATTAGGCTCTTTAAGGTAATGTTTACACTAGGTACACTGATACACTACATCACCAGCGCACTCCTATGGAGTGGTCAAAGTCGTAATAGCAAAGTAGTGTTTTATGCTGATACAGTAAAAATTAATCCATCTCTTGTGCAAAACAAGTTACGCAGGTATGAGTACACTTTTGTTGTTATGACTGAGTCTACTCTGGGGACTTCTGTTAGCCACACTGCCATAAACATCAATCAACTCCTATTGACACTTTTGATTACTGGAGCATTCAATATTGGCAGAAGTTCCTGAAGGAGATACAGGACAAATCTTTCATGATTAAGAAAATGTCACTCCTCAAACATTTAGGCTTTTTTACGCACCTTCTCTCAAGTTGCATTTGGAAAGAATGACTTATTTTATATAGTTTACATCAGTTATAAATAACATATAACCACATATAGTTATATATGGGCTTTTAAAGTGTTTGCTGCCTTTTTAATAAACGCACATGACATTAAATGGGAAAACCTTCATACAGCCCTTTTATTTCCTCCAATAACATAGCTATTACTTGTAGGACAGTAATTTTGAAAATGACTGAGACTGTAGCTAGGATCAAAAAGATTTAATTAATAAAACAGATTAAAAATACCTCTGTAGCAAGGGGCCAAAAAGGCCGGTTCCTTCAGGCAGTCTCACATAGTTGTGAAATGACAAAGATATTGCAGAAATTATTTTTCCAATCTTCATTTTTGAGTCTTTTATTAACCGCTCTGTTACTTTGTCTGCAAACATGCTTACTGACTTGTAATTAGCTACAGCTGTGAGTCCCCATATACTATAAAATATTAACGTTTCTGATAAATTCTTTAATTTTCTAATTAAAAGTAAGTAATTTTGTAATGCGCCTCAGTAGATAATTAACTTCAGAGAATAGTCTTTAAAGCCTTCTTCAATGTTCAGTGACAACCTACTTCAATATTGTATTAACCTAGACAGAAACTAAATGTTATTGTATCAGAATGAGTTCCTGACAAAATCTTCAATCCATAAAAACAACGTGTTAATGAAAAAAGACTTTTGCATGCTCTGCTACCTTCATAACAATGGCATAATCATCACTTAACACTCCTTAGAGCATGTTTATTTCAAGCAGACATAGAA